TCGGACAGATGAACCGGAGGGGGGAAGTTGCGTGTTTGCTATGCTGGGAGTGTGTGGTGGACGAACCGGCTGCGTATCCGGATCCGTCTCGTCATTGTGAGCAACTTTCATGTACAAAGTATTTTCATCCGAGTTACGGATTATTTTCTATTAATTTTAAAAGATTTAAATCATTTTCAGGATTTATTTAATTATTTTAATGCAACATTATCCAGAACAACGCATGCTGATGTCAGCATGACGTCAGCAGTCAACAAAGGTGTTGACTGGGTCAATCTGACATGTGGGTCCAATGGGACCCACCTGTCATACACTGTTAAGTTAATTAGGGTTAGGTTAAACTAATTATTGCTTAGTTAGACTAACAGGTTAATTAGATTAATTAAGTTGGATTAATTAACTTAATTAATTTACTAATTAATTAATTAATTTTATTAATTCATTTTTATTTTATTTATTATGATTGTTTTTTTATTCCTTTTTTTAAACCGTTCTAGGGCGGGGCCCTTTGTCATAGGCCCATAGGGCCTTAACGGGCACGGGCACGCGGGCGCTGGGTATACGAGCGTAACCCGGTTGGCCTCGGGCACCGGCCGGTGCGGCCAAGGGGCGCCGGGCGCGGCCACGGGGAGCAGGGGCACAGCAGCGCGCCGAAGTCGAGCTCCGGCGGCTGAGGTCCGGGCGGAGTAGAGGGGGCCGCGGCGAGTAGATGCAGCGGGGCACAGCGAGTGGTCCAGGGGCTCCGGCGACAGGCGCGTGAGGAGGCGCGCGCGTGGGGGCAAGCACCGGCGGCCAGCGGTGCAGCGCGTGGTGGTGCGCTGAGCGCAGCGGGCAGGACCACGACGCGGCCAACGATGGCTACAGGGCGTGGTGAGCACGGTGGTCGGCGAGCAACAGTGGAGGGGACCGCGGCAAAAATTACGGGACAGAGGGAGAGACGGGGGAGGGCGAGGCCCTCACCGGCGATGTAGAGACCAAGGGGGGGGCGAGGCTCGAGGTGGCCTTTGGGGAGGAGGATGGGGACGATGCGCGGCGACGAGGAGGCAGTCCGGCGAAGACGCTTTCGGCGAGGGGCGTTCCGAGCGACGGTGATGGGATCCAAGGGCGACGGGGTCGAGCGGTGGGCGTCGGCGTGGTAGCTTCGGGGCGGCGGTGGTGAGGCATGGTGTCGGGGACGAGAGGCGGCGTTGCGGCCTCGTCTGGGTCGTGCCCCGATCCAGAACGTGCGGAGAGGGGGGATCGGAGCGAGGGAATCGTGGGGGAGGGGAAGTGGGGACGAGTGGTGCTAGGGTTTCGGCCTCGGGGGCTTAGTAGGCAAGTGGGGTTGGGCCGGTCGACTGGGCTGAGGCCCAGGTGGGCAGGGGGTTCCTCTATTCCCCCCTTTTGTTTTCTCTTGATTTGCTTTTCCTTTTCTACTACTTTTCTTTTATTTCTTTACTGTTTTCATTTAAAGTTTCTATTATTTTAGTTTTTTTTAAATACCAAGGTAGCACCTAAATTAGTATTACTAATTTGTCCACTGCCATAATCATTTCGGCACACTAATAATTTAGTTATATTATTATAATTTTATAAAAGGTATTAAATTAATTGTTTTGCCCTAACTTTGGTTACTTCAGTGAATTTAAATATTATAAGAAATGTTGGTTTCCCCACCATTATTGCTCATGAATTATTCGTCCCATTTAGAACATTTTAGTTTTAGTGTTTGAAAACTTTTGTTGTTTGCCTTATTTAGGATTTAAATTTGAAACGGTTTTGAATTAATCCGAGATTAAATACAGTGACAGAGGTGACGTGCCATCATTAATGTGAGATTACTATAGCATGATTATCCGGGCGTCACATTCTCATTGGGTTCGACACTATTACTTATCAAAAGAATTACGATTGATCCTTTATACTTCTGGAAGCTTCCAACCGACTTTTCCTTTGCGTTATTTGGTTTCTAGGCCGGTTTTCCTTCTATTTTTTCTTTTTCTTTCTTTTATTTTTTTCCTTTTCTTTCTATTTTTTTTTCAAATTTGATGATCTTTTTTCAAAATTGGTGAACTTTTTTCGAAATTGAATGAACTTTTTTCGAAATCAATGTACTTTTTTTCTTCAAAATTGGTGATTTTTTCAAAATTGATGAAGTTTTTTTTTCAAAATTGGTGAACTTTTCTTGAAATCCATGAACTTTTTTTCAAGTGCAAGAATATTTTTTGGAAATCGATGATATGTTTTTTCAAAACTGGTGAACTTTTTCAAATTTGATGATATTTTTCCATAGTTGGTCATCTTTTTTTGAAACTGATGAACTTTTTTTCAAATTTGCAAAATGCTTTCCAAAAAAATTTCAACCTTTTCCGATTCCAAGAATCTTTTTAAATTCATGATTTTTTAAAAATTCACGTTTTTTGTGAACCTTTTCTGAAAGTCAATGGTCAAGGTGGAACTGATCAGCGATCAACAACTACCGGTTAACTGGGAACTGAGTAAACCGATTGAACCAGAGAAAAACGAAGCGAACCAAGAGAAGTGCATGGATGAACCCGGGTACATATGAACCCACTTTGAAAAACACATTTCTAAATTCTAAAAAAATCTGGAAAAAAATTGCACGGGTATGTCTCATGTTCTATGTGCGTGCATAAAGTTTCACGGAAAAATAACTTTTTTGTAGCCTGTGCAAAAAAGACAAAAATTTATGTCGTGAAACACTATTTAGAAGCACTGAAATTTGTCTTTTTTACAGAGGCAAAACAAAAAGACATTTTTTCATAAAACTTTGTGCCGCGTACACATATTTGCGAACATGTATGCGTGATATTTTCTTTTGATTTTTTTGACATTTTAAAACATGCTTAAAATGCATTTTATGAAAAGTGGGTGCATATGCCCCTCGGTTCAGATGGTGCCCTCTCAGCGAACCAAGACCTTTTTTTGGCGATCAAGGGAACGGACCAGCGCTCGCACGCTTTTTCTCGGCCGGGCCATGACGAGCGCCTAATCGGCAATAATCCTAGACGTACAGGTTCTTACAAGCAATTACGGGGCCTTCCCTTAAATCTCTTCGCCCCCCCTGATTTCTACCCAGGGTGGTGCCGCCTCACTCTCCATCTATCCAATTCTGTTAAGCCAACTCAGCCCGTAATTAATCTCTGCCCGTAATTACCCGTACGTGTAGCATTGCTCCCTAATCGGCGCCTGTATCACGAGTATTCCTTCCGGGCCAGGACGAGCGCCTAATCGGCGCCTGTAGCAGGTTGAGTTACTGTAGCGTCTCGAAGGACTGCACTGATTACCGTTACTGTAGCGGCACCAGTACAGTAGTTGTCGAAAAAAGTTCACTCATTTGAATTATTATTTCACAAATTTGAAGAATTCGTTAATTTTTTAAAAAAATAATGAATATCAAAATTCTTCACGAATTGGAAATAGTTTGAGAAAATTTAAATAAGGTCGAATCTGGAGAAATGTTTTGATTTAGAAAAATAATAGTTTATGAATTTGAAAAAAAAATTCAAGAATTTTAAAAAGTTCATGAGTTTCAGATAAAGTTCATAAATCTAAAAAATCTTCATGGATTGCCAATTAGTTCACGAATTATTCAAAAGTTCACAGATTTGATAATTGTTCAGGGAAATTGAAAAGCATCTCATATTTGATAAATTTTCACAGTTTTGTAAAAAGTTCACGAAAAGTAGAAAAAACTCAAAATTTGAATAAAAAAACTCATGAAGAAGTTCATGAAAAAAAGTTTGTGAATCTGAAAAAAAGTTCGCAAGCTATAGGTTCATGCATTTGAAAAAGGTCATGAATTTGAAAAAGTTCATGAGTTGGAAAAATATTGATGAGCTAAAAAATCACAAACTTGAAAAAAAATGCACATATTCACAATTTTTCACGAATTTGAAATTTTTCACAATTAAATTAAACGAAAAAGGTGAAAAGGAAACAAAATGATAGCTGGTGTACTGAGAAAAAAAGGAGAAAAAGAAATGCATGCCACCTAATTAACACCATTACTTCAATTCTATAAACATGTATGGAGAACGGTATTTATATTGTACATAAAAAATTCAACCATATAATAATCAAATATAATAAATCATACACGTCTTATAGACGTTTACAGAGTATGTATTTTCATTGTTCAATTGCATATTAAAATTTCATTTAATCTCATCAAGATATATTAGCTGATTTTGGTAACAATTTCCGCAGCAGCACACAGGCTTCGTGGTATTTTATTTAATTTCATTTAATCTCATCAACATGTACGGAAAATGATACTTATATTCTATACTTTTTCACAACCGCATAATAATCAAATACAATAAATCATATGTATTTTTCATTGTTTATTTTCATATTAAAATCTCATTTACAACCTCATCAAATACAGAATTAGCCACAGATTTTTTTGTCGCGCAGCGACCAGTTCGATCGCGTGCACAGCGAAAGCATTACTGGTTCCACCACGCACTGTACAGAATTATTTTTTAGAACATAGACGTCAGGGACGTCCGGCTTTAAATTAATAAAGCCCACAACATAGGCAGCGTATGACAACCACATGACCAACACACGGTACCAAACAAAAGACCACTGTACAGAATTAGCCACATATTTTTTTTATGCGGGAAGAATTAGTAAGCTAGAACAGCCTCGTTGCCAGCTCACGGATGACACATTGGCCTTTTTTTGCTCGCCAAAAATGACCCATTGACCTGACGACACATACATGCTGACACGTGCTTACGCCTTTTTCCGGCGGGGGGGAAGCGTGTGTGGTGGCACGTATCGGAGCCGGCCTAATTTAAAGCCCAGGCCTCTCACGAGAGGCTCGTTCCCCTCGCCTTCACCAGTCCAGATTATCCATCCATCCATCCAGATAAATAAATAAAGCCACAGCCAGTTTAACTTCATATTATCTCTCCTACCTAGCTGGTCGGGTCATCGCGCGCTCCCGCTAGCTGTTCTACAACGGGGAGATTAAAAAACGGGCGCCTACCATGGAGGCCGGCGTGGGAGGGGGCAACTGCGCTGGGCTCGTCGCCGTCGCGGCGGTGTCGGCCGCGGTCACGCTCGCCACCGTGCGCCTCTTCCGCGGCCTCGAGTCCGACTTCAGGAAGAAGATCCAGCTCCAGGAGCACGGTGAGTCAAACAGCATGCGATTGCAATTGCATGCATGCCGCGCGCTCTCCTGTGCTGTGTTGATCTGACATGAACTTGTTTTGCTCGTTCGATTGATTTAGGGGCTCAGATGGCGGGCGGCGTGAGGCCGGCGACGGGGAAGAAGAAGGTGCGGTTCGCGGACGACGTGGTGGAGCCGTCCTCCAACAACGACGTGTACCGGAGAAGAAGGCAGCGGTTGGCCGCTGGCCAGACGTCGTAGCTGGCCGATCCACCTGCATGCCTACGCCTTGCTTAGCTTTTGTTTTTGTTTTTGTCTTGTCTATTACTTGGTCTGAACATAGTCAATGTTAGATTTCGAGTGCTCGTGAAAGGTGTGCATATGTTTATTACTTGGTCTGAACATAGTCAATGTTAGATTTTGAGTGCATAAGTTTGCAAGTGAGTGCTTAGTAGGGGATTAGGCATGGAAAGTTGTTTTTTAAGTCTAAAACTAATGTTTGGTGCGTGGAGGGAATTATCAGGGAAAATTTGGGAGAAAGTAACGTGCCATGTGATTTAACAGGGGAAGGGCAGGAAAGAGATAGATTTTCCCTTCTCTCCTCAACTCACTAGCCCCCAAAACAAGTCAAGAAGACATCGCCCCAGCCGCTCCAGCGGGAACAACGGTTCATTTGCAGAACATCGGCGGATTCGCTGCGCCGACGGTGTGTGGAGGGGAGGATCCGGTTTTCCTTCCATAGTGTTTGCATACATAGGGTGTATGTTTCGTTTGGTGGCACCGGAAAGGTGAGGACGGTGCCGCGTCGAATAAATCTGCTTCGTCTACTTCCTCTCCGCGACGTCGAGAATCCGGTAGCCTCGTCTTCTTGCCGGCTATTCAAGATAGGGATATGTTGTTCTTTTTATCGTTGGTGGCTTCCATCTCCCGCAGCAGTGCCATCGGCCAGGATGAGATGATGATCCAGAACCGGGTTTTGTGGTCAGATGGCGGCGGTTCCAGCGTTCTCCCCCGACTTCATCGGCGGGAAGCGGTGGATTCGGGTTTAGGCCAGCAAGGGGATGTTCCCCAGCCGACATGCCACAACGACAAGTGCTTTGCTGCATGCAATGGGTCTGTTCATCGGCTTTGAAAGCCAATTTGGCGATGCTGCTGCTATGGATGTTGAGAAGTTGTAGGATCCACTTCCTTTTCAATGAATGCTTCGGCGACGCTGGAATTTGGAAGCGGTTGTTGGCTTCGATGTGCGCGGAGATTTAGGCCTCCTTTGATTTGAAGGATTTTTCATAGGAAAAACGCAGGAATTCTCATTCCATAGGATTTGCTACCGTAGCGATGTTTGATTTGCAGGAACAAGTATGGTGGAATACTGTTGCAATCCAGAGAAACACTGCTGGTTTCCTGTGATTTCGCATGAAGTGAAACATTGAGTCAGACCTCTTTTTTACACAAAGATCGAGGCAAGAGGGACAAAGTTGCATACCAGCGCATGGTTTCTCTACTAAATAATGCATTCCTTTGATTTCAGTTCCTGCATTTCAAACGTTCCATTTGTTTCATATTCCTATACTTTTCACTGTTTTTCAATCCTCTGTCTTACAACTGCAACCCTATAGATTTTCTGTATTCTTTTTATTTCAGTGTTTTTGCAATCCTGTGAATCAAAGAGGCCCTTATTGGGAACTTTTCATAAATTTTATTTTCTTGGGATCGTTGCTGCATGGTTTTTGGGATACATGTCTTCGTCATGTTTGTCTAGCAGTCTTCACGTGTGTTTGTACTGATTGTACTCTTTGTATTTAATATAATGTGTTGTCTAAAAAAACTCACTAGCCCCCAACCAAAAAGGAGAAGGTTCATGTTGAAAGGAAAATCAATCGTTGGTTGATAAAAGGACCTAAACTTAAAAGAAATGTTGAACAAACTTATTGAAAAGAATAGTATTTCAATAAATTTAGTACTCCCTCTAATACATATTGTTGTCGCTGATCTTAATATGGATCAGAGGGAGAAAAACATTTTCCTAAAATAAGTAAAGGTAATAATATTTTTTAGAGCTGCACAAACAAAAAGGTACCAAAACTAAAAAAAATAAGAAATCAATTTGGTTATAGAAAATGAAAGAGAAAATAAAATAAAAAAATTAAGAGAAAACATTAAAGAAGAATCAATAAAAAGGAGGAATGCAAGAAGTACCGGAGAGGTTTTTTTTAGAGAACATATCTCGGCCCATAAAAGAAGCCCCACACTGAAAACAGGAAAAAGAAGAATTAAAGCCCAGGAACCCAGCAACATAGTCCATAACAAAAAAAAAAGAAACGGGCCACGTGAGCTATCGCTACACAACCCGAGTCACCTTGCTCCCCATCACATGTTTATAGTTTCGACCCCCCAAAAAATATGTCTATATTTTACGGTGCATTACATTGATTCATGTAAGGATAGAAAATTCACGAATGGTTGGAAAAGTCTTTGATCATTTAATGGTCATGTATGTGTGCTTTGCAATTAAGCATCGATAGATATGATTTTTTTAAGGAAAAACATGCACACTAATTGAGTACAATTGCAAACTATAAAATTTATTTCGTCACCATCTACCTTGGCTGAAAAGATTTTTGAATTGAACCTTTTATTTAAGCGAAAGGGAGGGAGTAAATAGTTAGTTTTAAAAAAAACAGGAAGGCTTCCCGGGGCCCATTGCAAAGAAAGAAGCTTGGCTTGTAGGTCCAGAATAATACAATGGCCTGTAAGGCAGAGCTCAACCCAAGTTCAGAACAGGAAAATGTAAACATCCACAGTACAACCAACTAAGATCCCCCTCATACACTCAAACTATCAGTGGCGATTCTAGGCAGGCGGTTTCTAGGGTCAACATCGGGCTCCCTTCCATCACCACAGAGTGCAGCTTGGGTGTCATCTCTCCTCCATCCGCTCCAGAACATGTAGCAGGGTGGCGCTTGTCATTCAGTCTCAATTATACCCACACTCCAGCTGGAAAGGGGGTAGGATCATTTGATGAACATGAAGACACAAATCTTTCATCAGGGTAGTCATATGGTCCTTGAAGATGACCTCACATTTTCTTATTACTCTTAAGACTAGACACCAAATATGGTTAGGAGAAATCCAGGGAGCACCACTAAAATCATCTTATTTCTGTGTTTTCATAGAGCCTAAAGAGCAACAACATTAACAACGTTTAATGCATCTTGTTTCTTACCTATTGCTGAGAGAGAAGCAACAGAAGACAAATTCACTCCTAAATCTCTACCAAAGAACAATTTGATCACATTCGAGGAAGGAAGTATATTGTATAGATTATTTACATGAACAGTACTCACAATTTTTAGGCCTTTTCAAGTTTCTTTTCTTGATATTGTCCCGAGTAATTACTTTGATATGAAAAGGAAGCCATAAAAACACATGAATCCTAGGAACTACAATTTTGCTGACCGAAGGAATGAAAACAAGGGGTGATTCCTTGAAAATTAATGATTGCATAAAGAGAGCTGAAAGAATATTCACCAGAGTTCCCATATTGCCACACCAGAGAATCTTGGGAATCAGTAAAGGAAATACTTTTAGCAATTTCAACAAGCTCTAACCACATGTTCAACATCCTATCATCAAAAGTAATTTTCAAAGTCTCCCCATCCCAAATTTATGTATAGTTTGGAAATGTTGTTGACAAATGCAAAAAGTTCCTGGTACTGATGTCTAGCCATCTCCTAACAGCCACTTCGACCAAATTTAACCGCCTAGGCCGCACACATGACACCTTTCCAGAAGTTGGAAGCACCCAATACATTACTACAAAAATATATCTGGGGCATTGGTCATGTATTTGGCATCAAAAAATTCTTTCTAGATTTTTCCTTCCCCACTCGTACCTTTTCACCCATGATGCACTCAAGTAGACAGTTATCTATCTATCTATTATTAAAATCTACCAACATATTTATTGGCATGGAAGACCATCTTGATTATATACAAACTAACAAGAGTATCTATCTATCTATCCATCTATCTATCTATCTATCTATCTATCTCTGTTTCATGTGAAACTCTTTATTATCTAGCGACATGTATGTCTCAAAATTTAAACTCAACTAAGATTCAGATCTGCGCTAGCCTTTTTTTTAGTGGTCTGACCTGTGCTAGCTATTCATGGAACAACGATGATACAAACATGGCACATGCACCACTTCTTCTTGAGTGAGTTTGTTATAAATGCTAAAACCTCCACACAAGCTACTAACTCCGGTCCTAGATACTCAAGTGCTCCAAGTAGGATGTATCACAGTGAGCTATGCCATATTGCGATGATGAAGCACATGCATCGTGATAACATGATCAGCTATCTGAAGTTCTGAATGCTTCTCATGCTTGCTTCTCATGCTTCCCAATGTCGCTCATTCCAAAGAGTTCGATGCATGCATGCTTGCTTTCCGCCATGTTTAACATCCATTACAGCATATGAAACATACTTGATCGTGGCCACATAGTTCTTAACTAAATAGATGTGCAAACTTCATCCTTGCAAAAGAACAACTACAAGTATACGCCAGTGAAGGCTTGCCACACGACATATCTGGTGCGTAAATAGAGGGGGGATCGTATGTCACTAGAAAATTTGATATATTTTATTTGGACCTCAACCGTTTATATAGGCAAGGTAATGCATAATAGGTGGGAGAGAAGAAGTAATAGGCAAAAACTGATCGTGGCGGTAGAAGAGTGTTTAAGATTGTCATCATGTGTAATGGCAATGGATTCTCTTTGGTACATACTCATGTGTAGCAACATGGTACAAGATCACTTGGCAGATGTGTACAAGAACATTACGTCAACAAATTTGTCGTTGCACAAAGCACACGTGGGTTTAATTGTAGGGGAAACATGGAACAAAATATGGCCACCCACCATACTTTCTTCCTAAACGTTTTTGTTTTGAGGAGTTACTGAATCATTTGATGTGCCTGATCTTATGCATGTTATACTAGGATAGAGTACCCATTGATTATTCACTCATGCGTGGGCACGATGCATCTAATATATGGACCAACCGTCTGCGACTTCATAGAATGCAGTAGGATCTTTAGGGTGTGCTACTGTGCTAAGGGGATTTGTGAATCATTCAATTTTTTTTGTTCTTGTTTGAATATATGCATTTGGTCACGTTTGCATTTATAGTTATGAACTTTATCAAAAATAATTTTTTTAGTCCCCCTCCCCAACAACATTCAAAACTAGGTATT